CATGTCTCGCACTTCTCGCCTGCGGAACTCCCTCCCCATTTCTGGTTTTCCTGATAACTATAATCTCCAACTATTCAGATGTAACGTCAATCGATGTCTCCGGATGCCCTGATCTATCTCCTAACCTTCTCGTCATCCTTTCCTCTATCACTCCTATTTGCTCTCGCTCAAACTCTCTCTGTAACCCCTTACGTGCTAGTGGCTTCCCGCCTTGATTGGGGTTAAATGCTTAAACACACACACACACACACACACACACACACACACACACACACACACAGAAAAATTGTGTTGACCCGAAATGCAGAATCTTGATAAATATCCAGAAACAATTGACCATCTTGTATCAGGTTGCCCAGTTTTAGCCCCCACTGAATATAAATCACGGCATGATAGAATGGACGAATCTCTTCACTGGAAAATATGCCACTTTCAGGGAAAGGAAATCGCAATAAACTTGTATGACCATCAGCCAGACCGGGTTACAGACAATGGTCCTGTAAAAATGGTATGGGACTTTAAAATACACTCGAACAGAACTATCAAATCTAATCATCCACACATCGTGATCAAAGACCACAGAATGTGCTTTCTTATTAACATGCCAATCCCTGCAGATTGTAATGTATCTTTGAAGATCTTCAAATAAATATCAAAATACAAGGATCTTAAACTGGAAATCTCAAAAATTCAGCATGTATATTCATATTAATAATTCTTATTGTATTTGGAGCTCTCGAATTGATTGGAAAAAGTCCGATAGATTCATTGAAGGCATTCCTGATAGCCCATGTCTTAAAGAAATATAAAAGATCGAACTCACAAGTACAGTTCATATATTACGAAGAGCTCTATCTATCTACAATATGTGTGATCTTTGTTTTTGATTCTTTTTTTTTTTTTTTTTTTTTACAAAATGGCCAGTAGAAAATGTCACGAAGCCATTTTTGTCTCTGGTAAGGAAATAATAATAATAATAATAATAATAATAATAATAATAATAATAATAATAATAATAATAACTAGAAGTTACCAAGCACACATATTGAAAACTTGTGTTGAGCCCAAACGCAGATTCCATGATAAATATCCGGAAACAATTGACCATCTTCTTTTAGGTTGCACAGTATTAGCATCAACTGAATATAAATCTCTGCATGATAGAGTGGGCAAATATCTTCATTGGAAAATATGTCCCTTTTTAGGGGAAGAAAATCGCTTGTATGAACATCACCCAGACCGGGTTACAGATAAAGAACCTGTAAAGATGTTATGGGACTTTACAATACACTCAAACAGAACAATCAAATCTTATCATCCACACATCGTGATTAAAGACCACAAGAGCATAATGTTCTTTCTTATTAACATGGCAGCCGCTGTAGATTGTAATGTATCTTTGAAGATCTTCAAAAAACTATCAAGTTACAAGGATCCTAAAGTGAAAATCTCAAAAATGCAGCATGTATATTATTATAAATAATTCTAATTGTAGTTAGAGTTCTCGGATTGATTGGAATAAATCCGATAGATTCATTGCAGGCATTTCCTGATAGTCCATGCCTTAAAGAAATATAAAAGATCGAACTCACAAGTACAGCTCATATATTATGAAGAGCTCTATCTATCTACAATATGTGTGATCTTTTTTGTTTTGTTTTTTAATAATAATAATAATAATAATAATAACTTGAAGTTACCAAGCACACATACTGAAAAATTGTGTTGACCCTCTAATGTAGATTCTGTGATAAATATCCAGAAACAATTGATCATATTGTATCAGATTGCATGGTGTTAGCAACCACTGAAGATAAAACTCGGTATGATAGAGTGGGCAAATATTTTCACTGGAAAATATGCCACTTTTAAAGAAAGGAAATCGCAAGAAACTTGTATGAACATCACCCAAATCCGGTCAAAAAGAGAGGAATTGTAATAATTTCATTCGACTTTTCAATTCAAACCGACAAAAATAAAAGCTAATCGCCCAGGCATTGTGAGCAAAGACCACAAGAACAAACTGCTTTCTTACTGACATGGCATTTCCCGCACCTTAAATGTACCTTTAAAGATCTTCAAAAAAACTATCAAAATACAAGGATCTTGAAGTGGAAATCTAAAAAACATGGCAATTGATGTAGGCTATCATGTCTCTCCCTCTCCCTCTATTCCTTGCAGCTCGTAACAAGTTCCTTCCGTCTACTTCTTCTCCCAGACCACCTTCTGTCATCCACTTGCTTAACTCCGCCAGGTATGTCAAGCATATCCTTTCCCTCTATTCGACCCGTGCGTATCAGATTCTCCAGGCCCTCCTTCTTCATTATATGACCCAGACATATAATGAACACAGCTGCCTCTTCCTAATGTTACGCATAAGCCTCCTGCTTGTTTTCAACCTCTTTAAGATCTCATCGTTGCTTACACGCTCGGTCCATGATATTCTTAGCATCCTTCTGTAGAACCTCATCTCTGTCACTTCGAGTCTCTTCTTCATCTTTGAGGAAATCGTTCAACATTCGCAGCCATAAAGAACGATAACATTCAGTATTCTTTTCTTTGTTACAAAAGAAATCCTCCTGTCTCTCAGTACTCTACCCAGCTTTTGAAATGTGTCCTTGGCCATCCCATTACGTCTACCGATCTCAGTGTCGCACTTACCGTCCTCTAAGACACTTCCCAGATATTTAAACTTCCGCGTCTGCTTGATTTTAGTGTTCCCGAACTTCAGATTGCATTTCGGGCTCTTCCTCTTACTGACGACCATGAACACTGTCTTCTTGTAGTTTATTCTTAGTCCTTCCTTCTAACTCTTCGTCGCCACCTTCTGTAGGAGATTTTGTAATTTCTTTTCCGTGTCTGCTATCATTAATGTGTCATGTGGGTGTTGTTAAGATTGTAGCCGCCAATGCTAAATCCCGGTAGGTTTTCCAACTATCTCAGGATTGCCTCGATGTATAGGTCGTACAGGTCGGGTGAGAAGACGTATCCTTGCCTTACGCCCTTTCTATTTTTGTATATTTGCTGAATTCTTTCCCGAGGCGCATGGATGCTGTTTGCTGCCGGTATAGATTCTTGATTATTCTGATATCTTTCCCGAATATATCGAAGTTGCTGAGCAGTTTCATTATGTTACTTAATTATCTATAAAACTATGTGACCGAAGAGGAAATTATTTTAGCACGATAAATCATGTTTTTATAACAGGGACTGGGGGGGGGTAGTAACGGGACAAATATTTCTTAGAGCTAGATAGGATAGGAAGTTGTGGAGAGCCATGTAAATGAATGGCAAAACAGGGTCTAGGAGGGATAGTAAAGGGACAAACATTGTTAAGAGCTACAAACATTCCGGGATCATCTTTTTATTATGTACTCTGTCTTGTAGTTGATGCTTAGTCCTTCCTTCTCAATCTCTGTAGGAGATTTTGTAATTTCTTTTCCGTGTCTGATATCAGTACTGTGTCATCTGCGTATCTTATGTTGTTAAGATTGTGGCTGCCAATGTTAAATCCTGGTGTGAATAATTCCTGTTATAGTTAGAGCTCTCTACTTGATTGGAAAAAGCTTCCGATAGACCCATTGAAGGAATTCATTGTAGTCCATACCTTAAAGAAATATAAAAATTGTACTCACAAGTACAGCTCACACATTTCGAAGGTTTTTATCTATGCAAAACATGGTCTTAGCCTGTGTGTGGTCTTAGGCTGCCTTTTTTTTTTTTTACAAAAATACTCAGTGAAAATGACACGATGCCATTTTTGAAATTAGGTCTCTAATTGAGACCCGGTAGGAAATGAGTATATGACAGAAATAAAAAGAAATAATAATAATAATAATAATAATAATAATAATAAGAAGAAGAAGAAGAAGAAGAATCTACAAAATGTGGCACATGAGAATATCAATAATCCCTGTTGTAGTTGGAGCCCTAGGATTGGTTGGAAAAGATTCCAGTAGATTAATTGAAGGGATTCCTGGAAGTCCATGCCTCAAAGAAATACAAAAAAAAATGTTCTCACAAGTACAGCCCACACTTTACGAAGGGTTTTATCTATGTAATTTCTTTTTTTCAATGGAAAGTGTCATGATACCATTTCTAACCTTAGGTCCCTGGATGGAACCCGGAAAGAAATGTGTAAACGCCAGATATCAAAGGAAATAAAAATAAAAATAATAATAATATTAATTAAATGGACACTAACCCTCATTTCTTTAAGGCTACTATTATAAATGGTATAAGTTTACATCTTTAAGAGTCGACGAGAAAAGTACCATTTTCACTATGATTATAATATCCACATATCCATTTGCGTTGCACAAAAATTTAAAAAAAAAATGGCGGTCTTTTTTTATTCTTAAATTAATTGCTTTTATTATAAGAGATCAATTAGAAAATATAACAGAAGGGAATATTTTGAAACGTGGGTTCCATATTCAAGTATCAGGGGAAAAATGAAACCAAGACTGAATAAAAAGTAAACAATGGAGCTATAAACCTTCACTCGTCTGATGTTTGGAATTTCAATGCATAAATGAATATCCAATTAATCACTTCATTAAATGCTGTCCAGCCACCCAATTCTAGTCGGCAGATTGGATTAAGTTTAGCTTTAAGGATTATATACCGAAAAAAATGATGGGGGAAAACATTTCTGGCTGTTAATACAACATTATGAAAAAAAAAAAAAAAAAACAAGTAAAGAAATGAGCGCATATGTTGAACTGATATTACGATTCAGTGTATTATATCTAAATACAATGTCGATGAAATCTTTGTTTGGGGTCTGGTTGGAGACTGAAAAATGTTGACACAGATTTAGTCATAAGTCAGTAAGAAGTTGGGAGGGCTTTTGGTTCAATTCTTATTCGTATGTGACTGTATTAGGCTGTGAAAGACGCGGCCAGTTCTTGAAACGTTTGGAGGAGAACAATACATTGAAAAGAAATTTAGAATAAGGCAGCATCGTATGGATCCGAAGATTTGCGTGAGATATTGTGATGGACAAAGTTGATGAAAATATGCCAAATCATGTTTTTGCAACTCCCTCTTCTTCTGCTTATCTTCATTTCGCTTTCTCCTTGTTTTCCTCTCTCCCATCTATCTATCTATCTATCTATCTATCTATCTATCTATCTATCTATCTATCTATCTGTTCATTATCTATGTATCTCACTTTGTTCATATCTATATCAGTTTCTTGTGTACATTAAATTTATATATATATATATATATATATGTGTGTGTGTGTGTGTTTGTGTGTTTGTGTGTTCATTATCTATCTATCTATCTATCTATCTATCTATCTATCTATTTGTTCATCATCTATGTATCTCAGTCTATTCGTTTCTTATCTATGTGTTAATAAAAATACATATATATATTTGTGTGTTCATTATCTATTTGTCTATTTTATCTATTTATGTGTTCATTATCTATCTATCTATCTATCTATCTATCTATCTATCTATCTATCTATCTATCTATCTATCTCATTCTGTTCATTATCTATCTATCTATCTATCTATCTATCTATCTCTCTATCTATCTATCTATCTATCTATCTATCTATCTATCTATCTCATTCTGTTCATTATCTATCTATCTATCTATCTATCTATCTATCTATCTGTTCATTATGTATGCATTTATCTGTCTGCTCATTACTTAAGTATCTTAGTCTGTTCATCTCTATATCCGTTTCTTATCTATGTGTTCATTATATATATGTGTGTGTGTGTGTCTTCGTTACATATTTGTCTAATCTATCTATCTATCTATCTATCTATCTATCTATCTATCTATCTATCTATCTATCTATGTACATTACTAAAGCCATAACAAAATGATTGAAAACTTATTTAGAAAAACAAACATTTATTTTATAATATAATCTCCTTGCAATGTACTTAATTCAGCAGCAAATATTAATCACACCGAACATTAACCATATCATACATTGCAAAGTAAACATTTCGAATCAGAACTTAAATAATAATTAGCTATCAATAACTTCCTACTACCTGTTTCTCTGAGAAATATTTGTCGCTTTACCGTGTCACTTTGTCCCGACCCTCGTCACCTGTTCACCCCGAGCTCATTACGTACTTTTTCATTGTTTCTCTCTACACCTGCTTCTTTCAATCGGGCCTTTAAGCGTTAAAGATAACGTGTACCAGGAATTTCAACCGCCTGTTTCTGGTTTTACGTCTATGTAAATTAATGTGGGAAAAACTTATTTTGCAAAAAGCAAATATGTTTAGTAGAATCTCTTTCAATATTAATAGACTTAATTCATAATTAAATGTTATTCTCATCGAGGATCAATCAGATCCAATATTATACACTGAAAATTAGTTTCATCTATCTATCTATCTATCTATCTATCTATCTATCTATCTATCTATCTATCTATCTATCTAATTCTTTTCATTATCTATCTATCTATCTATCTATCTATCTATCTATCTATCTATCTATCTAATTCTTTTCTTTATCTATCATTTTACACTCTCTCTATCATTTTTCACATCTATCATATCGACCTCGCTATATTCATATTTATCGTGATAAATATCTATCTATCTATCTATCTATCTATCTATCTATCTATCTATCTATCTATCTATCTAATTCTTTTCATTATCTATCTATCTATCTATCTATCTATCTATCTATCTATCTATCAGTATGTTCATATGTATCTATCTTTCTCAGTATTTCTCAAAGTTTTTAAACTTCAGGGCGCACTTGAATAACTAAACTCTGGGGCGCACTTCCACTTTTAATGAAGAAAAATTAGTCATGAAATTTGAAAATAGGAAATTTTAGTTTAGCGTTCCCAAAGAAGATTAGCCGCACATTTAAAGGGATTTATGAAGAATCTTTTTTTTGTCTTTTTTCTTCTTCTTTTTTGAGAAACCCTTAATGGCTAATTTAAATCAATGATGAAGGCAAAAAAGAAAAGGATTATTCACTGTTAATTAAAGATTAAGGCATTTAGCATCCAGTTTAAAATATCAAATGACAAAGAATCGACTTAGACATGGAAGTCACGTGCTTGAGGTTTCTAGACTTCCTTTTTTTTTAAAATAAAGATTTTTATAAAAAATAATTCATAAATTACTCTTCTGTAGAAGATCTGCACGCTGTTAACGGCGTGCAGCTGGCTACATTTACAGATAGATAGATAGATAGATAGATAGATAGATAGATAGATAGATAGATAGATATAGAAATTGAATGGGATATCTATCTATCATAATAAATATAAATATGGTGAGGTAGATATGATAGGTGTAAAGAATGAGAGAGGGAGTGTTAAGTGGCATAAACAGAGAGAAATAAAAAGATAATGGACAGAGATAATTAATGAAAAAGATAGACAGTTATGAACATACTGAAAGATAGATAGATAGATAGATAGATAGATAGATAGATAGATAGATAATGAAAAGAATTAGATAGATAGATAGATAGATAGATAGATAGATAGATAGATAGATAGATAATGAAAAGAATTAGATAGATAAAAATAGAATGGGATATATATTTATCACGATAAATATGAATATAGCGAGGTCGATATGATAGATGTGAAAAATGATAGAGAGAGTGTAAAATGATAGATAAAGAAAAGAATTAGACAGATAGATAGACAAATAGATAGATAGATAATGAAAAGAATTAGATAGATAGATAGATAGATAAACAAATAGATAGATAGATAATGAAAAGAATTAGATAGATAGATAGATAGATAGATAGATAGATAGATAGATAGATAGATAGATAGATAGAAATAGAATGTGATATATATTTATCACAATAAATATAAATATAGCGAGGTCGATATGATAGATGTGAAAAAATGATAGAGAGAGTGTTAGGTGGTATAAACAGAGAGAAATAGAAAGATAATGAATAGAGATAGTTAATGAAAACGATAGATAGATATGAACAGACTGAAAGATAGATAGATAGATAGATAATGAAAAGAATAAGATATGAAAAAGATAGCTACTTTTTAGCGAGCAGATAAGTCAACACGTAATCCAAAGAAAGTATAAATCAATAATCTCATTGGTTTAACGCAGTACATCTGAATAAAGCAAATTATAATATTCTTTTTATTCCTTCTATTCTGTATAACAAAATATTGCTGATGGCACACACTTCGTTTTATGATTTGTTTATTGCCTTGCTCCGATTCTAAAATGGATCCACATTCTCTGATTGGGTTTTACCTAATTTTACATGAAATTCTTTTCTTCTTCTTGTGACATATTCCTTCTGGAAGTAGGCGATAACTGCTATACACATGTTTGTAGCTCTAAACAATGCATATCTCTTACTGTCCCTCGCAATCTCTGTTTTACAATCCATTTACACAAACTTGTTTAAAAATTACTCGGTTCCCAACTTGACTTCAATATATCCTTATGAGTGTCAAAATCTCCAAACCTTTTTTCTCATAATGTGTATCAGAAATTTCAACTGTCACTTTCTGATTTTAACTATAAATGTTATTTTTGCTTCTATTGTCCTTAAAATTTCCAAGTTGTTCGCATGTTCCCGTCTAAGAATTCTTTTGAAGAACAATATCTTTGTTGCCTCTCATCTCCTCTTCACCTGTGACGGGATTGTACAGTATTCACCGTCGTAGACGACGAGTGATATGACACGCATTTTAGAACGTTTCTATTTGTTTTTAACGAAATGTTCCTGTTTTCAAATATTTTGTTTAGCTTTTGAAAGGCATCTTTTGCTATTTCAATGCGACTTCGGATTTTGGTGTCACATCTGCCATCACCCCCAACCCAATTCCAGATAGTTAAATTTGTGTACTTGCTTGATGCGGACATTTCCAAATTGCGCCGTCCCTTTTGCTAACGGCCATGTCTTTTTTACAGTTAATAGTCTTTTCTACTAGCTTTTCTTTATTACATCGTCTTGGACTCTCAGTAGATTCCTTTCTGTATCTGTCATCAATGCAGGGCCATCCACGTATCTTATATTGTTAAGATTGTTCTCACCAGTAATAAATCCCGATAGGACTTCTAGTTCTATTCTGATCTCCTTGTATATCAGACAGTCAATAGTACCACACATGATACACGCTTGGACGATCATGCATTTTTCGATACTTTTTAAAAATTTTTTACCGCAGTAGGTTACCATTACTTTGTGTGGTAGACTGATTGCCAGCCAAGGCTATAGGATCCAATCTGTCCTGCTATTCAACCCATAGCTTGGGGGAGAGAGATGGATTTGTATCTTTCCCAAAGGTATTTGCGCGTAAGAGTATGTAACGAACATCATTGGAATTCGAACTCGGTTCCCCGAGCTCTCATTCCGAACCTATATCCATTTCACCACGACATATAATCAGTTTGAGACATATGAAATTAACACCAGGAAATCCTTTTGAAATTCCCAAATAAAATCAGGAGGTTCCATTGCATGTCGGGTTATCATCGTTTTAAGAGCCGAATAATATTTGGACTCATTTTATTATTTTTATTTACTCAATGCCCGACAAGGTCAAGTTGTGACACAAGGTTGGATTAACGTGTGGAGCCCGAGCGCGTACACCCGGGCAAGGAACAAAAATTCCCCGAGCCTCCGCAACCGTCCGTTGCGCTGACCTCAGTGCGAGCACAGATCCCTCTCTCTGGTGCGGCCTCAGGCAGCTGTTCCCCATGGCTAGGCACCTTTCCGTATAATTTCCCCAGTAGAGACTCTCCTTTGACGGAGCGGCCCCTGAGCGCACTCTGCCCAAAGACAGAGACGCAACTGAGAGATGAGAAGTAGGGTGTTACAAACTATTCGAGATAGCAATTTACACACTAATTTTATTTTTACACCATATGTAACTAGAGATCAATTAACAACAATTACCTCACTATTCCAGCACCCTCCTGAGTATTCGGGTTGACATCAATCAATTCTTTCTCAGATTTTACAGTTCTTCCATCCACTTTTCAAGGATTAATAATAATAATTACCTTTGCCTTATAAGGAAACATTTGACATTCGATCTATTGTAACTGTTCCGTGCATCTCTAATGGTAATTTTTATGTTAACTCTTTCCTTATTTGGAAACATTCAGCATTCAATGACCGAATAGCAAATGCTACTAAATTTACACTTTTCTTCACTTTCTAGACATCAGGCTGGGATCAAATGTACAATTTTTCTTCTCGTCTTGTCACGTGTCCAGAAAAAGAAATAAGCTAAGAAGAAGCAAATAGAACAATAGGAAAAGACCAAGTAAGTTTGTTATAGTAAAAAAAAAAAAGAAAGATTTTATTTTAGTTTTAGTGATTATGGTCAGAGGTCAAAAGGAAAAAATATATATATAAAAGGCCTACAGGCTAGAAGTTAGAAATAATACAAAATAACTTCAGTCTGGGGTTGATTTTTTTTGTGGTATAGTTTACATGTCAGGTTAGCGAACGGTAGTAAACGAACTGCTCTATAGTAGATTTCTTCAACAAGTGACTTCGCCAGCCAAACGCTTAATTTGGGCGCCAACCAACTAATATGAATACCCGGATGAAAGAACCCCACTTTGTAAGGTCATCCAACAACATCAAATTTCATTCATAAGAAAGATTCTCTTAATTTTTAATAGTAATATTAATCGTTTTTTTATAAGGAAATATTCAGCGTTAATTGTCCGAACTGCCAGTGCTACTTATGGTTGATATTTTAAAAATCTTTTAACAGTTTATCAGGAAATAGGTTTCATAAGTCCACTTACTGTTATCGCTCTTTGCAGTGTTGACGGGAGTTTCCTTTCCAACATTTTGTTCGAAGTATTGCGGAACGTCAACAGTTTGAATCCATCATTATATGTGATATCCATTTTATTTGTTACTACTTTCGGATGTCCTCAAGTTTTTTTTTAAGCATTTCACCCCAAGCAAGACGGGAAGCCACTAGGACGCAAGGGGTTACAGAAAATTTAGATCAAGATCAGATAGGAGTGATAGAAGAAAGGGTGAGGGTAGTGGATAGATCAAGGCAACTGGAGATGTCGATTGACATTACACTTGAATAGCTGGAGATTATAGCTCACAGGGAAACAGGAATAGGGAAGGGAGTTCTACAGGCGAGAGGTGCGAGACATGAAGCTATTGGAGTAGAAGAGACGGTTATGAGGTTTCTCTTATTTGATACAGTTCTTTGTTTCTTATTGTGGAGCGCTAGTCCACAATTGCCCGAAGAAGCATTTTCCTCGCCATGACATACATGCTTCATTCGCTCGGAGCTATTTTTAACCATTGGTCAGAGAAAACGGTTGTGTACAGCAGACAGTTTAAATATTTCTAAACACGCTTGGCGCCATCCATGACATTGATATAAAATTCTCGGGGACCCTTCTAATGCCGTATATAATGATAGGCGCAATTGTCGCATTATTTTTACATTGTTTCTTTTTTTTGGTTCACTCGGAAAGTGCAAATATCTTTTCAACTTAAGGACTTCTTTTAATTTTACTCTGTTAGTTACTAAACTAGCCACAACTGGTATCGCTTTTTCACAATGGCGAGATCTGGTTATCTGATTTGGAATGTTTTTAATTATCTACTGTATTTCACAGATATTTTATTAGAAGAGTAAATAGTCTTAATCCTGTTGAATAGTTGAGTTACCTGGTCGTCGTTAGTGTATATCACTTTGTGGCAAGTCTCGTGGAATCTCGGTAACTCTCGTATGTTGCAGTCTGTAACTGACACGTGAGAACTGTTT